GACGATGATATCTCTGAGAAGATGCAGCTATGGCTGCATCACCACTGGGACCCTACTCCGGAGGAGGGTCAGCAGTGCACCACGTGCTCCAACGCATCAGACGACTGATAGCCCAGACCGCTTTGACTCCCAGAGAGTCAGAGTGGACAGCGTTGACCCCAGTCTGGTCAACGCTCCGAAGGTCTGGCTATGTCCGCTGCCTCCACCACCGGAATCAACAACCACGACCTGATACCGTGTGCGCAGCAACTTCCACCACAAAGTGTCAACTGCCAACAGCCCAGGACCGATGTCCCCATCCTATCTATACCCTAACACTAGCCTAGACCGACCTAGACCGGACTGACTTGACCGACCGGTACCGTTTCTGTAACGAGCGTGAGGCTGAGGGTGAGCCGAGGGAGAGGAGAGAGAGGGAGAGAGTGAGAGCACACACACACACTCACTCACTCGACACGATGGACTCGGACTGAGGATCGGACGCAGACACAGTGGCGAGGCACAAAGTCGAAGTCTTGGATTCCGAATGCCGAAACAGCAAGTCACACTGAGTACGAGTACAGCAGCGGAGAACTGGTACGAGACCGGTCCCCGTAMCGTACGGGGAGCCGGTATAAGTACCGGTGACACGTATGGTACCAGGGGCATTTCTGCAAAGGCCCACGAGGGCAGAACTGAAAAATGCAGTATTTGAAAGTGGCGCCCGAATTGCAGCATGGCGCCAGTTGTCCAAAATCCTACGGTACAAAGGAGGGGTTTGGAAAAAGGGTGCCAGGCCGAAAACGGGATGCAGCCGAAACAGCAAAAGATAGACCAGGGATCGAGCCCTGGCGAAGTCCGTAACAGTTTCTGTTTCAGCCCCTAGGGCCTCTCTTCTACCCGGCTATAGGCTATAGGACCAACTATCAGCGTAGGCCCATAGGGCCTATCTGTCCTAGGGGTAGCCCGGGTCTGCTATTCGCAGTTAGAGTAGCTGTAGGAAAATCGAAGTAGTACTGGGCCCATATTTCTATATTTATAGATATGTCCCTCACGAATTTCCCATACAGGCAGGTCTCTCGGTTAGTCCTCAGCCAAACAAAATTACGAATCTACCCCTGACTATAGTACAGTCTCGTCAGAGTGAGGCTACAGGCAACCTGGAACCAGCAAGTAATTGCAGACCTAACCTCCCCCGGAGCGAGGACCTCCGAGCTAGGGGCGTAGGCGTGCAGAGCGTCGAAGGGGCTCTCCCTTCTGCGCACCTTCATACTTGAGGGTAACAGACTTTGATGTTTTCAGAAGCTCCTTGCGAGTAAACCAGCGATCCTCTGTATGGGGCTGGTAAAGAAACTTCACAAGGTACTCCTTATCTGGGCCCGTACCATACTCATCCACAACTTCCTCCACCTCATATCCCTTCCCAGGGATCGGGGGACCAAATTGTGGAGGCCTGTCTGGAAACGCATCAGCTGGCGTAAAAGGCAACAGCTTAGATGCATGAAAGACAGGGTAGGTTTGTAGATGCAGTGGGACATCTACGTGATAGGATGGCCCGAAAGGGTCAGCCCCCACTGTATCTAAAACCTGCCATGGACCCATATAACGCGGCAACAGCTTAGGCGAAATGTCCTCCTCCCGCGATAGCTCAGAACTGAGCACCCAGACCTAGTCACCAACGCGAATGGGAGATGGTCGACGATGCTTGTTAGCCTGCTGGATCATAGCCTTTTGGGCTTTGAGCAGGTCAACTCTGGCTCGTTCGATATCCCTCTGATACTGCCTGGTGAACTCTGCAGTCCCAGGAGTTAGTCTGGGGGTAGCCTTATCGGTGATGTCATCGAGAGGCTGTCGTGGTTCACGTCCCCAATGTAACCGGTAAGGGGTGAACCCTGTGGAGGAGTGTACAGAGGTGTTGTACACTAGATGTGCCCGTCCTAGATGGAGATCCCAATCCTGCTGATCAGGACTGATCACATGACGCAACAACTAAAAAAGAATCTGGTTCATCACTTCAGCCTGCACATTGGCTTCAGGATGACGTCCTGATGTCATATTCAGTCTGGAATGAAGGTAGTCCCTGCAGTAGGACTGCCATTCATTGTTGCAGAATCGCGGATCTCTATCACTGACAATAGAGGTGGGTGGTCTATGATGAGTAACCCACCTGTCAGCAAAGGCGGCCTGCATGGCCGGGACTCTGGCTTCCTCTGGCAGGGGAATAAACTCTGCATATTTGGAAAACCTGTCAACACACACCATAACCTGACGCATACCACGAGGAGTAGTCCTCCCCAGATCGATAAAATCAATAGATATTGACTGTGCGGGTGCATCAGGGATGGGAAGTGGCTGTAGCAGGCCAAGGGGAGGTTGACGAACGACCTTGTTCCTTTGACACGGCTCACAGGTTTCAACATAGTGCAGCAAGTCTTTCCTCATCTCTGGCTAGAAGAACCGCTGCGACAGGGCAGCCAACGACTTTAAGGCCCCAAAGTGGTCGCGAGCATCATGACACTCAGACATCATGAGTGTTCTCAGCGGGCGGTCATGAGGGATGCACAGACGCTCCTCCCCTCTGCCGCAAGTGTATAGCAGACCTGAAACCAGAATATATCCTGGTTCAGAAGCAGGATCAGTCTGCAGATTCCTAACAACTGGGCCAAAAGTCGGGTCCTGTGGCAATAGCTGGGCAATGGTCTGACGGGTACTCTCTCCAAAAGTATGAGTGGAGGAGATCATGCAGAGAGCGTCAGGCCTACGAAAAAGGGCGTCTGCTACACGATTGTCGCAACCCTTCTTGTGTTTCAGTTCAAAGTCAAAGAGATCAATGAACTGAATATAGCGCGCAAGCTTGTCATTCAATTCCCCTCGGGTCTTCATCCATTGTAAGGTGGAATGATCTGAAAAGATCTGGAAATGTCTGCCCATGAGGAAATGTTTCCAATGCCTTAGCGCTGACACTAGAGCACACAACTCTTTCTCGTACGGGGAATCCTGCAGCTTCTTGACTTTCATCTTCTTACTCATGTATTCAACTGGCTGCAGACCATGCCCACCATCCTGCTGAAGTACCGCCCCAACCCCATACTGACTAGCATCAGTACTTAGTACGAAGGGCAAGGTAGGGTCAGGTAGCTTCAGAACAGGTGCACGCATCAAGGCCTCCTTGAGGCG